TCAATAGATAATTATGATTAACAAATAATAATAATAAACATTTTGTAAATGTACAATGATGTAGCAATGGCAGTGCCAAAAAGAATGCAAACAAGAATATAGGAATGATACAGCTATACATATATCATCCCTACATGACTTTCAATATAAAAATTTAATGTTACACTGTAAAAATGCACTAGTAAAAAATAGTTACAAGGTTGGTCAATTTGACCGACCTCATAGCGAAAGTCTGTAATAATCAAAAAATGTCTTGACTCAATTTGGTTTTCCCTGTAAGTCCTAGGCTTTAGTTACATTACATTGATGTCTACACTGACATGACATTATGATAAACAAACTGCACACCAACAGTCAGGGTTATATAACTTTCAACTGCAGTGATATTAAAGTCAAGTAGGCACTTTACAGTGTACCACTATGTTTTATTATTGAAAGCCATGTAGGGATGATCTATGTATAGCTCTATTATCTCTATATTCTTGTTTGCTTTTTTTTTATGGCAATGCCATCCCTAAAGCATTTTGCATTTATAGAATGTTTTTTATTACTTGTTTTATGACGTTTTTTCCTCCTGACTGAAAGTTAGTGTATTCTATGAATGTGTGTAATAAAATTTAATATTATCTGTATTGATTTTTTTTTTTACTCTTTCACTTCATACATGATATAGGGGGGGGGGGTGTAGTATACAAAGCATTGAGTATTCTACATGTTACAGTCATCTAATGTTAATCTATTATTGACTGGTTTATTCCTGTTTCACCCTTACTTAACCTTTTTTGAAGGAACACCAGAAATTTGTAAGAAAGCTAACTTCAAGATGTAATGATAACATCGTTTACACTAGAATTATGATTATTTGTTTTTAATTACTACTAGTTATTATTACTAAACGATGACATTGTGCATAGCTCAGGAACACATAGAGTGGATTTAGGTTTAAACTGACGTTAGTGATAAAGTAGGTGAAGAGTTATCTCGACTGAAACAAGAAGAACAAAGATGAACAATTTGGTGGGTTGATCACTTTCTGGTTTAGTTTCTTGCCTTTTTGGGTGGAGAAACAAATGAAAGTGAGTGGCAATAATTTTTAAGGGAAAACTCTCTGTCATTGTTGATTTTTAGCGTGCATATTTGTATTATACCTATTGAGTACTTTGGTCATCCCTACATGTAGAATCTACAGACACTATAATATAGATTTTATAGTTTATCTATCATTTTTAAAAGTAAATATTTTTTACCGTAAAGCCTAATTTTGTTAAGAGTGAGTCGTTTATAAAGACAAAATCGGGAACTTTCTTCTTCTCGTCGTAACTGCATGGGATATAACAGTTTAAGGATTTCTGTGAAATTTAGCATTTTAATTATTGAACATTTTTTAAAATAATTTTTCATAATTCAAATTCAATGGACTTACTATACTGACTTGAAATAACCAAAAAATAACATTCATATTCACTGAAAATGACCTTATTTAAGAACTGATTTCTTTGAAATTGTTTTGGCGGAGCGCTAGTTAATTATTCAGTGTTTTAGGAAATTGGTGTTCACTATTTTAGGGAACTAGCTCACTCGATTCATAAAAATAGTTTTATATTTTTGCACAATACGAGGAGTCTTCAGAGCGAAATGTGATTTTTCTTTTACATGCTCTTGATAAAAGTATATTACGTCAGACATGATATTGATAATAGGTCAATATTATTCCGTTGCATTTAGCAACATAAAAGCGTGATATTACCTCATACATTGTTGGTTGTCAGACAGTTGAAAAACCATGTGAACAATACTTTTCCAACTTCTTGACCCATTAAAGATAAGTCTGCATGGACAATATTTCATGTCATTTGGATTCGCAATAGAACACCTAAATTTTACCAGATTTGTATGATGAATAATAGGTAACGGCGGAGAAAATTTCTTCGTACATAACTGGGGCTGTGTTGAGAATTTATGTCTGACTGTTTACATCCTTAACATGTGTTGATGGTAATCTGACATAATTGGTGTACAGATCATACATATATTTATAAATCCCGTTTCCTTCTGAATCCTCATCGTATTATTTTTAGTGCATTTTTCAAACTTTTATTTTATTTTTTACAATAGTGTGTTTTTATAAACTACTTTCGAGGTATCATTAATTCATGGAATTGTTTTCGGTATATTTATGTTACTAATAAAAGAAGTCATGTAGTCAATGTTTGAAAACTCTATATTCTTATTTTATGGAGAACATTAAGCACCTTAATGTTAAAATTTAAAGATAAAATTATTATCAAAAAACGTATTATTATTTAAAAGATAATCAAATAAAAATAAACCAGCACAAATCCGTCACACCACGCTGGGTAAAATATGCATGTCTAATTGAAATACTTTTGAAAAGCTATGAAAATCATTTATAATGTCCCTAGGAGAAATGCAGTTTCAAGGACAGAGATGTAGTGGATAAGTTTCTTTAAAATGAGCCGTAAAGTTGTTTCAAAAGAACAGAAAATTTCAAAGTATTTAATAGTAAGTTTGTATGCGCTTGTTTCACATAACATTCATTTTTGAAAATGTTTAATTATGAACGGGTATGGTTGCATTTCCTTTTTATAAAGGTTAGGTTAAGACCACCTACAGTAATAGCATTTTGTTATGCACAGTAATATATTTCAATACCTTAACACATGATTTAAGTATTATTCGATCTTTCACTGTTTCAGTGCGCATACAGTTTTAGATGACTTTTAGAACCTTTGTTATACCAAAGAATTTATGTAAAATATTGTATTTTTGCATTTTCTGTGGGTTTTCTATAAGCATTAATATACTTCTCAGAACTATTGGGGAAGGAATGTTATAGACTGTTAAGATTTTAATGAACATTTTCTTGTAACTTTTAGTACGATAACCTATATTGAAATTATATTACATTAGAGTAAATACTTGGTTGTATAAGTACATTAGCAATAAGTTTAAGTTTGAAGACTATAGTTGGTAAATGAGTAACCCAAAAGTTGGCGGTGGGTGGCGATGACTAGCTGTCTCTCCTCTACTCTTACACTGCTAAATTAGGGACGGCTAACGCAGATAGCCCTCGTGTAGCTTTGCGCGAAATTAAAACAAAACAAACAAACAAACTGAAGTCTATAGAAAGTTTTACTATGAAGCAAAACTGTACGGTGTAGTTCTGCTTTTATTTTCTTTTGTCCACTATTAGTTTTAAATATAACTGTATAAAATCTTTGAAACTATAAACTCTTAAAATTTCCAACGAGAATCAATGTTGATTTAATTTTTTAATAACAGATTTTTAGTGCATAATTCGGTCGTGTCATGGATTTAACTTTCAAAAAGGTTTATCTCTGCTTATGTCTTGTTTTTATTCTTAGTCAGGATTGCCTTTATTTGGCATTTTCTCGTAATTATGTTTGCTAATCCAAATAGAAAAGAGCCTGTTACAGCGAGAGTAAATGGTTAAAATCTTCGTTAATCATAATCTATATTACTTAAAATTGTAATAAGATTAACAGATGAAGTATAGCAAAGTAGACATAGGAAACATTTATATCAAAAGGGAAACATTAAAAGTAGAGTAACCCACATTAAGTATAATTCTGAGTAAAACAAACACAGAAATCAAATGGAATATGAAGTTCCAGGTTATTTCTGATTTGAAATATTCTAACATGCTCAAAATCTATAACGTTATGGGTATCTACTCGAAAGTTTCATTTTTTGTCTTTTTTTTACTTTCATTATAGGATTTTACAAGAAGAATTGGATGATGAATTACATTGGTTAAGAGTAGGTGGAAAATCAAGATTCATTTTGAGTTCAACAAACTTTATCTGACTGTTAAAATTTGTTTGGAGAGAAGAGGGAAAGGTGTTGATTAGGTTGTTATTTATTGGGTCATACTTATCCCTGCCATAAATATGGTGTAGAAAATCTGTTTGTCAATATGTGGTTTTATAAGGGCCCTTTTCTGATTGTAATGGATTACACAGGCCTACGAATTTAAACTTCATGAAAGTTGTTCTGGTTTTAATAACGGGTTTTCCATAATTCAGCTACGCAGATTTCGAAAATAATATTCTTTTTTTTTCTATCTCGTAAGGATTTTTTACAAATCGGGAAGAAAAAAAACTCTTATTTAGATCAATTTATTATTTCGTTTAACACAATGAACCTTTTTTTATTATTACGTTTGTTAACAAAAATACAAAAAAACACTGAGGAAAAGGAAAGAACACTGATGTCAAACGAAAATGCATCCTGATTTATTTTGTGAAATCCACGTCTTTTGGTCTCAAAACTACGTGTTGTGGTCATTCTTTTATGGGCCCGGCATGGCCAGGTGGTTAGGTCGCTCGACTCGCAATCTGCGGGTTCGAATCCCCGTCACACCAAACATGCTCGCCCTTTCAGCCGTGGGGGCGTTATAATGTGACGGTCAATCCCACTATTCGTTGGTAAAAGAGTAGCCCAAGAGTTGGCGGTGGGCAGTGATGACTAGCTGCCTTCTCTCTAGTCTTACACTGCTAAATTAGGAACGGCTAGTGCAGATAGCCCTCGTGTAGCTTTTCGCGAAATTCATAACAGACAAACATTCTTTTATGTATTGCGTTATGACGTTTTGTGAAACATTTGTACGTGATGGAGAAAAATGGATATCATTTTCGGATTCAGCGTTCAGGAATTACTGTAGAACATGTAAAAATTTCAAGACAATAAAACCATCGCAGGCCTGTGTTGTTAATAACTTTGACGTAAATCAAGAAAAGACTATAATGTTTACTTCTTGATTGCATAATTACATGAACATTTAATTTTTCTTTAGTAATAAAATGACATTTGTAGAGAATCTAACAATCATTATTGTAACTTGTATATTGTATACTCAAAATTAGTTTCAGTTCGTCCCATTGGGGGATAAAGGCTCAATAATTATGAAACTTGCATTTGAGGCTTAGATGAAACCAAAATATGTGGATTTATACGTGTTTTTTTTTTTTTTCAAAACGTGCTAGCTGTTAGGTGATTGTTAGTATGGGAATGGTAAGTTGTAAAATGAAATGTCTGTTTATAGTTCTTATTGGTGTGTGAATTTTCTGTTTGTTTGCGTTTTTAATTTGTAAACAAAAATTGTTTTTGTTCTGTTACAAAGCTACACAATGGGCGATCTGTGCTCTGCCCACCGCGGGTATCGAAACCCGATTTTTACGGTCTAAGCCCTTAAACTGACCAATAAGCAACTGGGTGGACGTATCGGTAAACAGCTGTGCATTGTTTGAATATGGCTGGTAAGTATATTGATACCTATACCCAGCCTAATAACTGCTAACATATGACATGATATAATTGATTTGAAAACATGAGCCATTGTTAGTTTACAGGCAGGAAACGTAGTACTTTATGTCGAAAAAACCAAGTTATCAAAAAAATAACTTAAGTTTTCTAACTTACGTTAAGTTGTTATACAGAACGTTGTCAGAGGAGATTTTGGAAATATGGAGAATAAAGAAGTTTGTATGAATACATGTGCTACAATATCCTTGGTGTAGCATGTGTAAACAAATTAGAATAATTCTAATATAAAACTGGAAAAACCAAAGCATAAATGATGTAATAGGCCATTTAAAAAATGATGCATAAAAAACTACGAAATATCAACGTTTAGAAAAGTACTTATTACTATTTCAAACATACACACACCCGCATATATATAATTCATAAATCCTCACTTGTAGTAACTGCTTATATGTCATACTATAGCCTACACATATGTAAAGCACAACAATCTTCATTCTATCCACTTGCATTAAAAATGTGCCACAACATGACTAACATCGTACATTTACTGACAACATAGAAACTGTACATAAAATACTTGAACGTTTGAACACTTATTTCAATGATGACGTTTTTAATATTTTAAACTCATTTTCATGAACACATTTAAGATACAATTGATAAAATTCTGTACATTTAAGGGTATGGCAAGTGGAACTGACAAACTTTAAGAGTTAATTTAGATACATAAATACTTATGTTATATACAGTGATATTGGAATTTAATAGCTCATACTCTTGAACTAATAAAAACATCGCCATTTCTTTTTAATGGTCCAATTTGAAGCGCTGTAGGCTCGAAATTACTCTGAGTAACCACTTGATTTTTGTTCTTTTGTGACAAAATGTCGTTTTGTTTATTTTTGTTCCCATTTAGTGTGTAATTTTCTATCTGTTCCTCTACAGACTTTAAGATCGCTGACGGTGGTCGATTACGGAAAGGAGTCTTATTTTCTGGAGCACGCAATGATCTATGGTGAGGCATGGCATATCTTAGTTTTTCCCAAAACCATTTCTCTCCCCACACAAGGTATGTTTTCGTTGACAACAGGTACTGAAGGTCTTTGTCAAAGGTATCTTTAGGAGGCAGTTCTCCTTTAACCACAACAATAAGTCGATCGACTTTGTCTTCCAACATTTGGTAGTAAGCGGTGTGAAATTCTATCTGAAACCACACACTTTCCAAGAAGTCTTTGGAAATAACCAAGATTGTCCTTCTGCTGTTCTGAACAGAGTTAACTATATTCCAGCTGATAGCATTTCCAGCCAACCAATCGCGATCGTGAATACAAACCTTAAAAAGCGGTTCATTGGTTTCTAGTTCTTTCAAAATGCTGAAAGCAGTCTCTCTGTCTGAGCTGCTATATGAAATGAAAGCATCAAAGATCTTGTCTTCGTCTAGTTCTTCTTCAGTGAAGAAACACATGAAAACATTATATAAATGAATATACACATATGCAATAACAGTTTGCTTATTGCGATAATAAAGCACAGATACAACAAATAATAAAATTGCTAAAACCACACATATAACAGACACACTTATTAATTTTATTTTCTGTGGCCAAGTAGCATGAGGACACAAAATATTATCTGGCATTTGTACAAGCAACTCTTTCCTTAATGTTCCATTGAGTTTTACTGGCTCTGAACAATAAATGTCATCTATATCTTTGATTTTATGTAAATTGTTAGTAAGCCACGATTTCAATTCTAATGTTTCACACGTGCATTCCCATGGATTGTATCCTAAACGAAGATCAAAATGTAGTGTTTCTTCTCTTTCTTTATATATATCTGTTGATATGTGAGTTAGATAGTTTTTCCTCAAGGATATCATTTTAAGATTAGGAGGTAACTTCCAGTTATCAATCGAGGATATATGGTTTTCATCCAGATATATTTCAGTGAGATTTCTGTAAGCATCAGATGAGAAGATATTAAGAGATGATATATTGTTTTTCTCTAGATGTAAAATATTTGTATTCTCAGGCAAGTGTAATGGTAGAGTATCCCAATGCAAACCACTGCAGTTTACAATTACTGCCTTATCAGAAGTTCGAAAATAACAGTGACACAAATCTGGGCAATTATTTCTTACAGAACAAATAAACTTCTCTCTTGGAACACTGGTAATAGCTTTATTTGCCAGATGTGATGGACCAATACATGGTAAGTTCTTGGCACCATGAATAATCGCAATTCTATAAACATCATTCAAATAATTTCGCAAATAATCAGCAAAATCCAACAGATGACAATCACACTGAAATGCATTATCTTGGAGGTAATAAACAGGGGATGAACCTTCAGAGTGTTTGGAAGAAAACAAGTGCATTACATTCAATTGCATATACACATCCCTCATATCGACTGTTTTAATCTGATTTCCTTTTAGATATACGTTTGCATCATCAGATCTGATAAGTGGAACTTTAAAGAAGGTAATTTGGTTATTATCTAGACGCAACTCTTCTAGGTTTGTTACTAAATTCCAATTCATATTAATAAATTCTGTTAAATTGTTGTTAGACAAATCAAGTTTCTTAAGCTTTACAGGTTTACCAAAAAGATCAACCTTAGCTAGTGATATTATTTGATTACCTGAAAGAATTAAAGTCTCCAAACTCTGTGTATTTCTGAACAATGTATTATTTAGTTCTGTCAGAAAGTTGTATCCGAGATTAATTTCCCTGATATTGACAAAATTTTGAAATATATCTGGTGACAAACTTTTGATATTGTTCTTGTACAAATTAAGCTTTTGTAGACTAATTTGGTAATCAAACAGGCCAATGGGTAAAAATGTGAGATCATTATATGGCATTTCCAAAATATGTAACTTTCTGTTATTATCGAATATTCCAACAGGAAGAGAGGTGAGCCTGTTATTATGCAATTTTAGCTGTAACAAATTTGGTGCTTCTGAAAAGAAAGAACTGGAAAAGTTTGTTAAGTTGCAGTGATTAATTGTTAAATATTTTAGGTTTGTCAGTCCTGTAAAGAGATCACCAGGAAGATCCCTGAAAGTTGGGTTTGAACTAAGATCCAGCTCCTCAAGTGCCAAATTTTTTCTAAACAGTTCACTTGGTAATGTTTCAAGTTTATTCTTGGACAAACCTAAACTTCTAAGATTGAGAAGACCTGAAAATACATCTCCTGGTAATTTTGTAAATTCATTTCCAAACAACTCTAAAATTTCAAGTGATTCAAGATTGTCAAATATATCCTTAGATAGAGTACTAAGCTTATTTCTGTACAAATATATCCGTTTTAATCTAGGAAGATTTCTGAAAAGTCCTGCTGGTAACTTAGACAACTTGTTGGCACCAAGTTCCAAGTTTTCCAAATTATTTAATGGTTGAAATACATTTTCTGGTAGAGTTTGTAATTCATTATCAGAGAGATGTAGTGATTCAATATTTGTTAGATACTGAAAAACATCTTCTGGCAAAACAGAAAGTTTATTTTTTGCCAGATTCAAAAGCTTTAATAATGCAAGTCCTTTAAAGAGAGAGGCAGTCAACTGCAAATTACCATTTCGATTTTCAAACTTAAGTTTTCTTACTGTCAACCCAGATAAAAAATCATTGAAGCTCACAGTTGGTAAAGAACATCCACTAAAAACAAAATAATCAATTTCTGATATATCAAGCTCTTTAAGCATTCCTGGCTTGTAAGGGGCACTGCTGTTACACTCAACCTTAAGTCTCTTATGAAACTTGTAGTCAATCACATAAGCATGTGGAATCTGGCCAGATTGAGAATCTGTTGTGTTTATGAAGCATTGTAAGGTATTCCCTTGAATAGTATCAGAACAATATACTATATCACAAACTGGATCAAAATTCTTTACACAGTTAAACCCATCTGAGAAACGAAGAGCTCCCAGAAGCAAAATATAAATGATGAAACTGAGATTTTTCTTCTGTCTGTCAGACATTCTGGCAAAACCTGAAAAATAAAGGGATTTTATGAGTAAAAAGCCCAGTAATGAAATAATTATGCAGTTATTGAGAAAACAGAAACAACTACACACAAATTTAGAAGGAACTCCATCTGAAAATGTGGCACAAGTCACATATAAGCAAGTTTCCTCCACAACATATCAGTTAAGCAGTTGTAGACCTCAATTAGCTGAAGAATGAAACAGGTATTTTGTTATTTAACAAGTGATATATCAGTCAAGTCAAGATACCCAAGAATTTTTGCCCAATGGACTGTTGAAATGATTGCTGGGAAACTGTCATCCTTGTATACTAGATATGTTATAGAAAGGCTACAGGAAGGAGTGGTGTGTTATTGACATGACAGCCTTACAATGGAACCTTTTGCAATGGAAATTAGGCTGTAGGATTATTGTCAAGATGCTCAGCTTTCAGACAGAGTATGATCAGATTTGGAGACATTGACTGTAATGACATGTTGAAGCTTCAAAATCATTTTGATATTACATACTTGACATCTGAGTTAGTGATAATGAACATATTACACACATATTGTCTTAGTAACAGAACATGCTGTTTTAAAGTTTAGCATTTGAAACAAATGTAGAATGCAATGTTATGTATAGTATCATAACTATGTTTTATTACTGTTTTACAATGATTTTCATCAAATGTTCAAACTTTCTGTAGGCTACATATTCCTTCTTAGTTTACTTTTACTTTTAGTATGACAAAAATCATTTAATATTCATAAGGAAAAATTCATTGTTTTAATTTTACATCTGTGTAGTTATCCCTTTGACTAATTGGGCAATTTTAGTTGTGCATTTTGTCACAAATAATATCATATCAGGTTCATAAGAATCAATATGAAATCAAATCAGTTTTTAAACAGAAGCTCAGTTCTTTTACAATACTTAAAATAACTTACTGTACTTATTCTTGATGTGATTTGATTAAATACTGATAACTGATTATAGAAGTGCTCAGGATTGGACAATGAAATGTTTTGAAAGATTTGGTTAAGTGAATAGTTTTTATAAGAATATGTGAACACCAAAATATTTATATATATATATATATATATATACTGAAATTAGTTGCCTCTATGAAATAAAATAGATATATCTTATGTTTGAGAACAATTAGTTAGAATCATTAAGTTCAAAATACCAATATAGGCAACATATTGATTATAAAAATCTATCTAATTAACCTAAATTAAATTAGCATACCTGAACAATAACTAACAATGTAAAGTACAAATTATCTTTGCTTTTATGGAGTATACACCTCATTAACTCACAAGTAACCATGCTTGCATGAATTTGTGTTAGCTTACTAATAATACATAACACAATCAACTTGAACACCCATTCACTACCCTACACCAAGTTTTAAATACATCTCCTATGGTGCTAAAACCACTGAACATTTATGACCTGAATTATGAGTTATAAATGGACTTCTTTAAATTTTTTAGCATAAAATGACTTTTCTGAATTGAATCCTCTGTTCAAAACAACTTAATTTCTTTTTTCCAAGTTCTGCACATTATAATATACATATCTTAGATCTTTCCAGTTTGTTGAATTCTGTTTTAATTACATTTAATTACCATACTATTTGAACCATACTTGAAGTGCGCTTCATACATCTTCATTTTAAGGATAATTTTTGGAAGGGTTTGTTTTTATTTACAACTTTAA